GAGACGGATAGCTAAGATGAGGTCCCCCTCATGCGGCGCATAACAAGTGTGGGGACTCAGCCTGCGCAGGTGGCTCAAACTGCGGCCGTGTGCTCATCCAACGTGCCATCAGCCACAACGCGGGCAGCAGCAGAGCCCACATCTACGTTGGCCTCAATGTCGGTGCCTAGGATCGCGTATCCGGACGGCTTTAGCTATGTGAAGCTTGATTGCCAACTCGCCATGGTGCAAGGCATGCAAAGCTTTGTGCCTCCCGTGGATCGTCAACGGGCAAGGACTTTTGTGCAGCAGCATGGCGGGCAAGTCGCTATGGTCCAATTGATGGACATAAGTATTTATTTGCACCTGCGTGACTATTTTGCTTTTTCATTCTAGAGACTAACAGTTATTGTTGTTTGGCAGGCGTTCAGCTACGTGGTAACATTGTTCAAGAGCAAGCAAAGAGCTCGCTCTCAGAATAACGAGCTCAGCGCCAATTGCAAACAATTGGCCGCAGAAAAGGCCAGCCTTGTGGATGATGTCAATCGTCTGCAAGGCTCGGAGATGGCCAACCGAGCTGCTACAGGGGAGAGCCTAGCAGATGAGCTCACAAACAGAAATAACGAGCTCAGGGAGGAGCTGGAGTGAGCCCACGCTGAAAAAGAAAGTGGGATCTAGGTGGCAAAGGAAGAGGCCGCCGGGTTGAGGAACAAGTCAAGAAGGCTGAGGCCGAAAAGGACCGCGCTCAGAACGAGCTGAGCTCCCTAAGGCACCAAGTCGCTGAGGCCGACAGGAACCTCAGTGCAATTGAAGAGGCCCTGAACGAACTGAAGACTTCTCATGGGCGCTCTGTAAGCATTGCCCAAGCTCAAGAGGCAGAATGGTTTGTGGGCTCGGCTGCATTCTAGGACGCTGTGACGGTGGCATCTGCAAACATGACCACGGAGATCTACAACGAGATCCGTGGGAAGGTGCTGCAACATCGCCCGGACTTCCCAATACGCGAGCTGGCGTTCTTCGACGGGGAGGACCTCGACGAGCAGGGTAAGAGCCTTGCTTCCCTTGCTGATGCGACGGTGTGATTGAGATGGGATCTCAATGAGGAAGGGGTACCTGTTTGGCCTCCTTCAGTCCTAGAGGAAGGGGAGGACCCAACAGGCCTACCCACCTTCGACTCCTGGGTTGAAGGGGCTCCTGTAGCTGAACAGGAGCCATCAAGCACTCCACCCAACTCTCAGCCCGCCGTGGTGCCGGCCAGGTTGCCCGTCATTGCACGCCCGCCATTCACTCACCTCCAGCTCGTGTCCATGCCCGTCGATTTGACGGATGATTAGGCTTAGGATTTTTTCTTTTTGATCTTTTGTATTTTTTGTTTCTACATTTTTGTATTGATCAATGGATCCATTCCATATGTACCTCAAATGTAAACATCCTTGATGAAATACAAACATGAATTTTCCTTTGAAATTTTTGTATTGACTATTATATATTTTTTGTATATTGTCGTTTACAGTTGCTGGATAACAACTTGAATAAGATAATAGAACACATGTTAACTGTAAAATTTTCTAAGGTTGTGTATGTTCCAAATGTATGGTAATTGGTGTCTTTGTATGTCTACTAACACATAAGATCCAGGTCACTTGATTTGAACGACCATATAGGGACCTTCCCAATTAGGAGCGAGCTTGCCCATGTGTGAATAAGTATTGGTTAATCCAGCTTTGCATAAAACCAGATCGCCAACCTTGAACTGATGAGCTCGGACTCTCTTATTGTAAAATTTTGCAACACGACCCTGATATGCCATGTTCTTTATTCGGGACATTTCCCTAACCTCTTCTACAAGGTCTAGGTTCTCTCTTAAAAGTTGCTCATTATTAAGATCGTCGTTGTACCGATCTGCTCTATCAAACGACAATTCGACTTCTACAGGGATGACGGCCTCAGCTCCATAAGCAAGGCTGAATGGGGTTTCGCCTGTTGTCAAGATGGGCATAGTGCGACATGACCAAAGCACTTTATTGAGCTCGTCTACCCAATTAGAATGTGCGGCTAGTACACGTGTCTTGAGGCCTTGCAAGACGATTTTATTGGCGGACTCGGCTTGTCCATTTGATTGTGGGGTATATACAGAGGTCAAGGCGAGCTCAATGCCATAGTCATTACAGAACGACCTTAGTGCCGCGGCTCAGAACTGCGGACCATTGTCAGCGATGATCCGCTTAGGTATACCGAACTTGTACACAGATGACCGAGCTAAGCCATAAATTATATTTGTATATAATATACCAATGGCTTAAGTTGCTAAAGAATACCTGCATACTATTGAATTGAACAGGAATTCTTCTATTTTCTTTTCTGTTGTCGTGGACAATGGTTTAGCTTCTATCCATTTGGTGAAGTAATCCACCGCGACAACGAGGTAAGTGCAACCTCCTTTGCCTTTCACAAAAGGGCCAAGCAGGTCGGCTCCCCATTGAGCAAAAAGCCAGGGAGATGAGAGTGATGAGAGCATTTCTCTTGTTTAAACGAAGAGACTTATGCTTAGTTTATAGACAAACATGAAGTTTGCATGAACTTTAGAACGAGCTCAGATACTTGGCATGTGAATATCATCAGCATTGAACTGGCAAGTCGGGCACTTTTTGACATAGTTCTGTGCGTCCTCAACCGTTGTGGGCCAGTAATAACCATGCCTCAGGAGTTTCCAAGCTAAAGTTCTACCACCGATGTGTGTGCCACATACTCCCTCATGAACTTCCTTCACAGCATATTCAGCTTCATAAGGAGTAAGGCAGCGTAATAAGGGCATTGAGGCTCCTCGTTTGTAGAGCTGATTATCTAACAAAGTGAAATGTGCCGCCCTACGTTTAATCAACTTTGCAGCAAACGGATCTTTAGGTAGCTTGCCACTTAGCAGATAATCTATGAGCGGGGTGGTCCAGCTTGGTGAAGAAGGATCTGTGCTTAGTAGCTGACATTTGATTGTGAAATTGGTGTAGCTCGGGGCGTCAAGTACTTCTACAATTGTTGACCTCTGAGGGTTGATATCTTGCGAGGAGGCTAATTTTGATAGCTCGCCAGCTCGTTGGTTATCTGCTCTGGGTATCTTGTCAATCCGGAAGGAGGTAAATATTGACTTCAATCTGTTGACCACAGAGGCATAACGACCAAGCTGAGGATCCCTGATTTCACAACTACCATTCACTTGGCCCACAACGAGCTGAGAGTCGCTAAAAACTTGAATGCTCTGTACTTTTAGCTCGGACGCTAGTTTCAATCCATAAACAAGGGCTTCATATTCCGCGACATTATTAGTAGTCTGAAATTCAAACCTCAGTGCGTGCTCGGATTTAAAGCCATCTGGGCCCACTAACACAGCCCCAGCACCCGATCCTTCAATGTTAGCATCTCCATCAACATACAAGACCCAGACTAGGTGCTTGGGTGCCTTTTCTTCCACAGTCGCCGAGATGCACTCCACCAGGAAGTCTGCCACAGCCTGGCCTTTTACGGTTGTGCGTGGCTGAAATTTGAGATCGTACTCACTCAGCTCGACGCTCCATCCGATAAGCCGACCAGAGAGTTCCAGTTTCTGCAATATCTTCCTCAATGGCAGATTAGTATAGACAACAATTTGATGAGATTGGAAGTAAGCTCTCAACTTACGAGCTGTGTAAACCAAGGCAAAAGCAGCCTTTTCTGCTAATGGGTAGTTCTGCTCAACATCTTGTAAAACCTTGCTCACATAGCAGATAGGTTTCTGATTCTTATTCTCTTCCCTGAGCAGAACCGAGCTCACCGCCTTCTTCATAACCCCCAGATACAGGTATAAATTCTCCCCCTCCACAGGCTTGGACAACAGGGGTGCTAATGCTATATATTATTTGAGCTCGTCAAACGCTTGCTGACATTCACCTGTCCATTGAAAGTTCTTGGGCTCTCTCAGGGCTTTAAAGAAGGGCAAGCATTTTTCTGCCGACCTGGCAATGAATCTATGCAGCGCGGTGACACAACTCGTCAGACGCTGCACATCTTTTACAGTCCTGAGCGGCTCCATCTACTGAACGGCCTAAACCTTCTCCAGATTTACCTCAATTCCTTTCTTGGATACCTTAGAAATTTTCTTGATTCTACAGCGAACGTGCATTTCAGGGGATTCAACTTTCATTTGGGCTCGGCGCAAGTTCTGAAAAGTCTCATTCAAGTCGTCTATATGATCCTCAGCTCGCACACTGGTGACTATCATGTCGTCCACATATATTGCTATATTCTTGTCGATCTGGAGCTTAAAGATGATTTGCACCAGCTTCTGATATGTTGCGCCCGCATTTTTCAGACCAAATGGCATCATGACATAGCAGTAGATTGCATCACCATCGTAAAAAGCTGTTTTCTCCTAGTCGTCCAGTAGCAACTGAACCTGGTGGTAACCTGAGCTAGCATTAAGGAAACTCATCCGCTCATGTCCAGCTGCCCGCTCTATTAGCTTCTCCACATTTGGCAAGGGATAAGGGTCTTTTGGACACGCCTCATTTAAGTTAGTGAAGTCAATACACATCCTCCACTTGCCGTTTGGTTTTTTTGACAAGCACAGGGTTGGACACCCACTCAGAGTATTCCACTCTCCTGATGAATCCTGCATGTAGCAGCTTTTGTATCTCTTCATCTATGGCAGCTTGCTTCTCAGGGCCAAAAAGGCGACGCTTCTGAACCACCGGACTTTTGGTGGGGTCCGTGCTAAGCTTGTGGACTATCAACTCCGTTAGAATGCCAGGCATTTCATCTGTAGTCCACGCAAATACATCTTGATTAGCCCTTAGAAACTCCAGAAGCTCTATCCATTCTTTTTTTGTGAGCTTGGTGCCGATCTTAACTGTTCTTTTCGGTACATCAGGGTTTAAAGGAACTATTTCCACTAGCTCTACCGGCTCTGCCTTTTGCTCGACACCCTCAGGTCGATGCTCAATATCCGATATACTCATTGTCTGTTGGCCGAGCTAGGTCGGCTTGTGAATTTTAGAACCTGCCGAGGCTGCAATGAGCTCAACTTTCTTGAACGTATCTTGATAGCAGGCTCTAGCCATCTTTTGGTTCCCTTTAAGTACTCGTACCCCCTTAGGAGTTGGGAATTTCATACAGAGATGGGGTTGAGAGATAACAGCCTTCAGCTCGCACAGAGTGGCTCTTCCTAATATAGCATTAAAAGCTGATTCCATCTTGACGACCAAGAAGCTAACAGAGGCCGTCCTGAAGCGTGGTTCTGAGCCCACATATATGGGAAGAGTAATAACTCCCTCCACCGGGACAGGCTGGTTATCAAACCCATATATGGGTCCTTCATACTTTTGCAGCGAGCTCGGATTTAGTTGCATCTTTTGAAAACAGCTCCAGTATAAGATATCTGGCGAGCTACTAGTATCGACGAACACCTTGTTGATGTTGTGATTACCTATCTGAACCGTTGCCATGAAGGGATTTCCATGAGGCATCATAACGTCAGGCTCTCCGTCTACTTGCTTGTAATCGGCCGGGCTGAATGTAATGGGTGCATTTTCCCATTCTGTTTCTTCAAACGGGCGCTTCAGGGGCCTGTTCTTATTAACAGTCATCACTTGGTGAGCATATGCTTTGCAACCTCGGGTGCTTTGGCCTCCTGAGTGAATACCTCCCGAGATCATGTTTATTGTACCAAATGGCGGGGGGATCCCAGCATAACCTACCCCCTTTCTATCTTTTTGGTTCTGGGTGGCAATCCTCTATCCTTGCCCTTGCCTATTGAACTGACGTCTCCTGTACGCTTTGCCCTGCTTCGAGGGATATTGGTTGTCCTGATACACATCCTGCGTGCTGCCGAGCTGATACCTCTGCCCCTGAGGTCGGTCATATCCTTGCACAAAGTGAGTTTGAGATGGTTGCTGGGTATAAGGCTTCTGCACATATCCTTTTAATTTCCAATTGCGAGCTAAAAACTTCAGCTCGTCCTTCAAATGTTGGCAGTCTTCTATGTTGTGACCATAAGTACGATGGTAGTCACAATGCTTGCTCTTGTCTGCCCTTCGGGAATCATGCAATGGGGGTGGGGGTCTTCTAACCCAATGCTGGATTTGTGCCAGGATTTGAGACCTTGGCAAGGTCAAAGGAATGTAGTTGGCATACTTTGGAAAGTCAGCTGGCTTCCCCCATTGCTCGCTCACCTTCTGCTTTTTCTTTTCTTCTCTCCTTGGTGGTTGTTCATGGCTTTTGCTCTGCTTATCATCAGCTCGTCACTTGGATGACTGGAAGTCTTCTAACAGTATGAAGCTAGCCGACCTGTCATTCACTTCGTTCCACGTCTTTGGTGGGTTTTCTAGCAGGTCGTCTAGGAACTGACCACGTTTCAAGCCATGCAGCAAAGCAGACAAGCAAATGGTATCGGGGACGTTATCAATGTCTAAAGTAGCCTTGTTGAATTGCTGCATGTAGTCCCTCAGAGATTCTCCTTCTTTTTGATGAACTTGCATCAGTTCAGTCACTGTACGCTTGATCTCTCTTTGGCTCGCAAATTTGTTAGAGAATAGCTTAGCGAGCTGAGAGTAGGAATCTATAGAATGTCTGGGGAGTTTATGATACCATCTTTTGGTTGTTGATTTCAGCATCGTTGGGAACACTTTGCACATCATGGCATCATTGGCATTTTGGATTCTCATGATGGCCTGATAGGTGTGTAGATGCTCATCCGGGTCGCCCGAGCCATCATACGTCTCCAAGTGGGGAATTTTGCACCCCTCTTGATATGGTTCTGCTATGATAGATAGGTTTAGTGGGGCACTATCCAAATCAAGGATCTGTTGGTGCAACCTGGGACTTTTCAGCTCGTCAATGGATTTTTGTACATCTCGTAGCTGCCTTTCAAGGTCTGCGTTCTTTCTCATCAGTTCTTCACTATGTTTGGACGAGCTAGGCTCGTTATTTAGCTTCCCATTTCCCCTTGGTTTGGTCGGCACTACTATGTTGCTCAAAGCGAAAGAGTTTCAAGTTGCAACAACCGTAGCTGGCTGTGCATCCCTGTTCAATAAAGGAATTAGGGGGTCATCAAGAATTAGACGGGGAAGGATTTTACCCATTGCCATTTCGAGAACTCTGGTTCTCTCTTTGAGCTCGGTTGTTCGAGCAGGCTCTATTGACCTTTAAGGTCTTTCCTGTTGTAGATTGCCTTGCTTGGGTTGTCTCTGCCTTGTTCCTGTTGGAATTTAGAAATGTTTAGGCTGAGCTGCATACCCAATTGGTGTTCTTTCATTATCATCTGTTTCACTTAATTGATCCTGTTCTACTCCCCTTACGAAAGGGTTTCTCGGCATTGGTCTAAAATCATTCAAGCTGAGGTCAGATAGTTGTGTGTCCTCCTGTTCATCCATTTCATTTCTTGGAGGGCGACCTCCAGTAAAGGTACGAACCATTTTGTCTTTCTACCGGTTAAACTATGCAACTTCTTGTTCGAGTTCCCACAGATGGCGCCAAATGTTTGGGCAGCTTCGTAGTCCAACACTGTTGAAGTCCTCAGCTGCTTCTACACCTGAAAATCCTGAGGATGTTTCCTCGAGGAAAACACTCCGACGCTCAAGTCAACAATACTCGATATTCTAGAGAGAGATGCTCTCAAGGAGTAATTGCAGAGAGAGAAGCATAGAGATTAATTACCTCTTTGGAGGTAGTTGGGGGGGTATTTATAGCCCCAAGTGCTAACATGCATTGGTATATGTAAGCATCTGATTGGCCCACGTGGCACTGTCCACGTGGGTATGTTTGTACTTGCTGTACTGGTGCTCCATCCTCTTGGGCTAATGGGCACCAGCCTAGGCCCATTATGTACAACCCAAGTTGAATGTTGGGCCTATTCCAACAGTAGTGTTTCTATTTTATTTTCTATCTAGTTTTTCATGGATACTAGTAAAGATAAGGAGCTATCACTTTAAGGTTTTACCCTTTGTAACCTTTCATGGCAGACATCAACTATGTCTTCTTTCTTCTCCTGTCATTTTTGCAGGTTCAATTTCCTCTTTTAGCTAGGTTGAATGATGCCTATAATGAGCTACCTGCATTTCAAGAGGCTATCCCAAAGAAGCAACCAGATGCTCCTCCATCAGTAGCCAGGTAAACTTGTCTTATTTTCAGTGCCTATTGAACTTAAAAGGTAAAGATGCAAAGAGTATCTTTTAAATAGCTAGAAATAAGAAGTTAGTTTGTGAAATGTTGTTTCTTGTATGTGGAATGGCGTGAGCACCTTATGGAAGTGATACTGAATAAAGTTGTAAACGATATCAATATGTTCGTTTTTCAAGACTATTTGGAATGTTTATGATAAAGGAAAGTGTTAGGGAATTTCATTTCACCTTCATGATTTAGTTTTCCAATTCTGAATATTGGTAGCTAGTTACTTATAAGACCAATAAGATAGAACCAAGAGAATTTCAAGGAGTCATTTCTCAAATGCTATATTGGTCCTCTTTGAATCATTTTTGTCACTTAAATGACTTTTCATCATTATTGTCACTTAAATGAGTTTTCATCAGTATTGTCTTAAGGACAATGACTTTGGTTCATTTGCTATATATTTAAGCTCTCTTTGGTTTTCTAAACTAACCACAATCACTAACCTTTGATTTTAAAATATTAAACAATGCCTTGAATAAGATGATCATGTTCGGCCAAAAGAAAAAGCAAAAAAATGATTACAGATTCCATGCATCTACAAGAATTCAAGTCAATCTCAAAGACTCTGCATATTAAACAACCACTTAGGGACAGAAGCGTTGCAGGAAAAGTTTTTAATCTTTTTGGTAAAATTGTCTTCTCTTCCTTCAGTTTTTCAAATTACTCTTTGATTCTCCCCTTCTGGTGTGTGCTCTTTTAGTCCTTTGGATTATTGGTCCTGCAATTAAGTCCCTAGAGCTTGTTTTTTTCCAGGCGGAGTCTTCTTGAAAGCTTTCTTTTTCCTTTATGAAGTCGATCAACTTTCAAGAATTGGTGTTTAACTCGCAATTTTCTAACATACAAATGAGTCCTTACAATAAAAAATTTTAAGGTCTTTAGTTAAATCCAGACTCATAAACATTTGTAATTAAATTTGTCTCCATCAAAATCAAGTTAGGATAACACAAGAATTAAAATGTGAAAATATTAAAGAAATTGCAAAAATTGGAACATTTTAGCACTAAGATGTCAAGAATAATAATAATAAAAAAAAAGAAAATGATGTGTGCACACCCGGATCCAACACCCGGGTGTGCACACATCATATAAAAAAAAAATTGCCCATCACCCGGTCCATCCTTTTTTTTTATATAAGGGGTGCACACCCGGGTGTTGGATCCGGGTGTGCACCAATCATTATCCTAAAAAAAATTCAAATACCTTTAATGAATCATCACTTAAAACGAAGATTCATTAAGAGTGTTACTTAAAAAGAAGATTCATTAAGAGTGTTTAAACTATTCACAAACAATCTTGACATTTTAAATATTAAAACATCATAATTTTCACCCTTATCAATATTTTTAAATTGGTTTAATGCCATTTATGTTCCCTTAATTTGAGTGTTTTCATTGACATTATCTCTCAACTTCATTTTACTCTTTTTTGGTTCCTCAATTTAAAATTTTTGCACCAAATTTGTCTTCTATTTACTCCCATCCAACTCTACTCGTTAGACTAGTTGGCTACTCCTATCTTTTGCTTAAACTTTAATGACATGGCAAATACTTGTAGTAAGAAAAAAAAAAAAAAGGCCTTACTTGGACAAATTTTAATGTCACCTTAGTATTCCACTCATTCAAAGGCTCCTGCTTCAATTGGTAAGATCCATTAGATACCATAAAAGAAAAGCAAAAAAAAAAAAAAAAATCCCCAATTGATCCCTTAAACCCTAGAATCTCCGACATCTCACTCCTCTCTAGTGGTTCTCTCATCTCCATTTCTTTCATATATAATCCCCTTTATATATTTGACTACATTTTCCCTCTATTTTAACATCATCTTCATTCTAAGTTTCCAACTAGAAAACAATTGTAAATTTGATTTTAAGATGTCGGCTCAGTTTGGTGAGATTGGGCCAATTGGAATCCCTGCTGAAAAAATGGCTATTTGAAGGTGAAATAAAAAATTTCTAAAAGCTAAGGAGGGTATCGACACCACAACTTATGTGTCGAAACTTGTGTATAATTTTAAAAGTTGAAAAACCTAACCCGAGTACCGAATGTGGACAATGAGAGGAATCGACACCAGTGTTATCAATTCCATTTCGTACCGGCCGGTATGGCCGGTATGTATCGGTTTTCTCAAAGGACAGAAACGGAACAAGCTTAAATTTCGTTTTGGTCAAATACCGAAAGTTTCGGTCAAATTACCGGTCGAAATTTGATGTACTGGCCGGCAAACCGAAATATGACCGGTACACCTAAGTTCAAACTAAAAAAAAAAAACAATGGATTTCCGATTGCAGATCTATTTCTGTTCTCCTTCTTCATCACGAACGATGAACACCACACACAGCACGCCGCACGCCGCAAACGTCTTCCTCAACCTGTCACCGGTGGGTTGGAGATTCAATGAATGCTTCGCTTCGGTGATTACCGGCTAGATCTACTACATCTTCTCCCCTTTTCTGGTAGCTACCGAACCCTTCTACTTTGGTGATTACCGGTGATGAAGGTGGAGGCTGTGATTATGATGAGATGCTCAGCAAGGGGATGGTGAAGATCCAAGGTGAAAGAACGGAGGTGATGGTGGCGATGGTGGATCCGTAGAAGGGAGAAAAATCAAGTTTTTTTCTGTTTTCTTTTTTTTTTTTTTTTTTTTTTTTTTTTGGTTTGGCAGCCGCACCTCCTCCTTCTCCCTTTAAAAGGAGGAAACTAGGTTTTCTTAAATTTGGGTTTTGATGGGCTGCTCAATATTGGGCTGGGCTTATGGGTTTATTTTAGTAAATTTCATCCTTAGCTTTTTAATATTTTCAATTGAGTACTTTTCTTGTTTTTTTTCTTCAACTTCTCCCCAAAATTTTTCATAAAATTTTTTTATAACGATAAATTCGAAACGGTACGTGAAAAATTTCGGTATCCGGTACGTACCGTTCCAATAACAAAACCGATACGCATGCGATACGGTATTGACTACTTTGATCGACACTTTCAAGATTGTTTCGACACCAAGTCCTCGTCAGTCTTTCTGAACCCTTTGCCAATGGGCATTGCATTTCCTTTCAACAGACAAGAAAACATAATCGAAATTGGCATTTGGCCAGATATAGCAAAAAGATTATCATTAAAAAGAAACCCACCTCCACATGGATCTTCATTAGGAAGCTTATGTTCTCTGATATATCATCATCTTATATAAGCCAATAGTATTATAAAATATGTTTGATACTCAATTAATTATTATAATAAAGATAAATAAGAATTTACCACTAGCATTTAAATTGTAAATATTTAATAGAAAAAAATAAATCAATATTATCCAATAAATAAAGGTAATAATGGGACAAATGCAAACAACCATTATATGTGATCTATATGTTCTCCTTTATTGTCATGCATTTTAAGACTAAACTATCTATTTTTTAGACGGCATTTATCTGGACATCTAACTAAACAAATTCCCAGCCTACAAAAACCACACTCACAAAAATTAAAACCCTAAACAAAATCTAAAAGTATACCTCATATTTGGGATGAGAATTATATTACAAACTTAGTGCAGGTTAAGACTTTTGCTTGGATTAAAGGAAGATTGAAATCTGTTGATTTTTTCTTAAGTGACTGGTGTCAGTTTCCAATTCTTTGTGCAATTCAGTTCTAATTCCTTCCTTTTCCCCTTCTCTGTTTTTTTTTTTTTTTTTCCAGATAACGGGTGAGTACTCCTTGTACTCATTCTCTTAATAAAATTTTGCTTTTGATTTATCAAAAAAAAAAAAAAAAGTATACCTCATATTCAATAATGTCTGAGTTCCACCCTTGCTCAAGATCAACGATGCTATCGCAATTGGAGTCCATACGACAAGTATTATACAAATAATTCCAGAATTAATCAAGAGATTTGAATCTTTAATTTGGAGGTAATGGAAGAGAATCCAATATAAAAGATCTAAAATTTTGGACAATTTCTTTTATAATTTAAGGTTCACCAAAAATAAAAATTGATTTTCATTCCTTTTCTTTTTCTTTTACCGTACATGGTGGATCCTACAAATTAAAATAGGTGCCTTTGAATGGGTTGGGATACTAAGGTGATATTAAAATTTTAAAAGTGAAATAATTATAATATCACGTAATATTATAATTTTATAATATGATGTATTATTATATAATTTAATTTTTTTATTTAAAAATCTAGTTATAATATTATATATATATTAATTTGTTTAATAACGCATTACACTTATTTAATGTCATGTAATATTATGGTACCACATCATAATCATAAACTTCTAACCCTATGTTATATTGTGACTATATCATTAATATGAAAATTTGTCCAACTAAATTTTTTTTCCTCCGTGTAGTTGCTATTTCATTAAAGTTTGAGGAAGATGGGAGTAGCCCATTAGGATGGAAGTTGACAGAAGGACGTATTCAGTGCAAAATTTTCGAGCTTGGTAACTAAAAAGGTGTAGAATGAAATTGAAGGACAAAATTGATGCCAAACAAAAAGTGCATAATGAAGTTGAAGGACAAAATGGATACAAAACATTCAAGTTAAGAGACAAAAAAAAGGCTATTAAACCTTCTAAATTTTTCTAGATATGGAGGAGAAAACTTTACGCTTACCAAATACATTCTACTAGTCTGCATGTTAATTGCTCTTTCCACAAAAGCCCATTTAATTTCTTTAATTTATTTATTGATATAACTAGTGCTTCCGCTCTTGGTGTCAATGAGCTTCCCGAATTCTATAGTCAGCGCAAACTGCAAATTAGAGCATGTTAGAGAAGAAAAGTAAATGGAGCAGAAATAATTCAAACTTGAAAAGTAAAAGCACACAAGAAAGTAATTTGAGAATGAGAACTTTCTAGATACTTGAATTCAATATTGATAAAACATACTAATATATGATTGAAATCTAAGTACTCTAATTGAAATCATAGACTAAAACAGACTTAACAAAATTCTAAAAAGGAGCAACTACCCCACTTTTTGAAAAAAAGTGGAAAGACTTAATTCAAACAAATTGGATGAAGACTGTTTACGTGTCAAAATGGATGGAGTCACTATCTATCCAAGTAAGGTAAGATAGATTATCTAAGTTTGTATAGAAATTAACTAATAATAGAGGGTCGATGAAGCATGGAGCTAGAAGGTATTAGGCACCCTACAACTTTTGTATGAATATGGTTATCACATACTTTAATTTTGGGTTTATTCAATTATCAATAAATTTGACAAAAACAGATTCAATGTATAAAAGGAGGGGAAAAAAATAAATATAGAACAAGTAAGAGAAATGCACAATTTAATAAATCCCAATTATGCCAATCTTCTTTTTATTGTTTCCCAAAGTCTTCTTTTAAATGGGTCCCTAATTGATTATATAAATCTTAAACTAAAACTTGGCTGATAACAATGAACTTGAACCCCTTTTTCTATTCATTATTTCCTAACTAATACTAAGTTATCAAAATAGCAGCAATTAAATAATATTTAAAATTAAATAAATAAACAAACTACAATTTCTAAGCATACAGGAGTAACAATTCTTTAATTTCTCATGTTAACCAAACATGAACAAACCTATTAATATAAACAAAATTGATAACCAATTTTTATAGACAAAGCTAGGGAATTTCAAAATCAAAAACAGGCCAAAAAAAAAAAATGATTCATGGTCAAGATACAACCAGGATACTAGGAGAAAGAAAGAAAAGAAAAGAAAAGAAAAGAAATATAATAATAATTAAAGCTCTTAGCAATGGCCTTATTATGCTCTATTCCAAGAATAAGAGGGAAAAAAAAAATCATATAAGAAAAATAATCCGAACTATTTTTCACGCAACAATTGAGAAATATACACACCTACAAGCAAGTAATTCAAGTTTTATTTCTTCAAAATTCCAAATACAAAGCTCCCGTATATTCCCCTTGTTCTCTATCTCATAACTATCTCACCATTTCTCTCAGTTTTTTTTAAATCAATTTTTCCTCCTATTTCTTATCAATTTTTCTATACTTTTCCTCTCCCTCTCTTCTCTGCTCTCCCTCTCGGTTTCTTCTCTCTCTACCTCTCCTTCACTGGCCGAAACTCTCTTATATAGACAAATGGAAAAAAACCCAAATCCTTCTCTAATTCTAAGTTTTAATCCAAATCCCTAAATCACAGATAATAACCCAAATCCTTTTGTGATTCTAAGTTCTAATCCAAATCCCTAAATTGCATATAATAATCTAATCCTACTCATAATTGGAATTTAGTACTTTAGACATCTTCACCTTTCAAGGCTAGGTTCATACCTCTTAAAGATCAAGACTCCTATTTTGAATTGACTTCAAAATCTTTCTCTATGATTCTCGATGAAGACTTTGAATCCAAAAATTTCTCCATACTGATGCCATAATCTATCCAAAATTGAGTAAATTTAGGGACAAACCAAGAAGAATTTGTGTGTTTTTGGAGGATGGGTGGCGGCTGAGCAAAAGAAAGCAAGAATTGTGAGTTTTTGAAGGCTAGAGTTTGATTGAACCTTGGCCTTTTATTTTTATTTTAACCCACCAGCAAAATGATGTGTTTTGCCAATTCTTCCTTTCAATCTTTTAGGTTTTATGCTTTTACAAAAATGGTACATTGGCTTCCAATATTATTATTTAGTCTTAGTTAAATTGGGTTATGAAAATTACCACTTTTTAAATTTCTTTTAAAGAATCAAAGAAATGAATGAAGTTGCTATCTATCCAAGTAAGGTGGGATAGACCACCAAAATCTATGTAGAAATTGATTAGGTTCGAAGGGTTGATTAAGCAGGAGAAAGATATTAAGCACCTCATAACTTTTATATGAATACGGTTACCACATACTTTAATTTTGGATTTATTCAATTATAAAAAAATGATAGAAACATACTCAATGTATGAAAGGAAGAAAGAAACAAAGAAAGAAAGAAAGAAAGAAAAACTTAGTTCAACAAAGAACCAAACAAGAGAAATGCATGACTTGATAAATCCCCCTTATGCCAACCTTTGTTTGTAGATGGGTCATTATTAAATTACATTAATCGAATATTTAAACTAAACTTGGCTAACAACACCAAAAATGGACAACAATGAACTTGAATCCTTTTATTTCTCATTCTTTGTTTCTTAAAATAATACTTGTTTCCTAAAATAATATCAAATTATCAAAATAATAGTAATCAAATAATGTTTAAAATTGAATAAATAACTAACTGCAATTTCTAAACATACAAAACTAACAATTCTTAATTTTTCATGTTAACCAAGCTAAAACAAACCTATTAATAAAACAAAAATAATAACCAAGTTTTAATGAAACAAAACTTTGGAATATTTTAAGATAAAAAACAGACCTAAAAAAAAAAAAAAACAAATCAAACATTGATTCATGGCCAAGATGGGACCAAGATAGACAACAATTGAGGAGTTTACACACCTGTAAGAAGGCAAGGTAAGGATAAGTCCGAGGTTAAGGACCTCGGACGTACTATAACAATTCCTTGATAACTGAAATGGAGTTAAACCCAGCATATCTGGTCAAACGGCTATACGATAAATACAGTGGGCATATCCACACCTGATTTATTGCATAACTCTCCGGTCCCGAGTTTATCTCCTCAAGAGACACGTCACACTCCAATTATCTTGCTTGGCATGCCACATGGGTTCCTCACTGAAGCCTATAAATACCCCCCAGGGGCCACGTCAAAAAGATAATTGAAACCAACCTTAAACTCCTTTTATCTCCGCTTTAGAGATAGCCCCAATTATTGTTGACTTAAGCATCGGAGTGTCTACCCAGAGGACCCACCTCGGGGCTTTGCAGGTCAATCCAAAGTGCAGATACGGACTGAAGAAGGACAGCTGGTTTGGTGCAATTACATTTGGCGTCGTTTGTGGGAATCCGAACTGAAAGCTTTCTTGTTGCTCTTTCATCATGGTTAACACTCGATCAGTCAGAGCTGGCAATTCATCTCTGCCTCTTGGGCAAGCTCAACTCCCCAGCAACCTTCCACCTCAGCTCCTACCTATGCTCCCACCTCAGCTTCCACCTAAGGTCCCGACTATGTTCCCTCCTGTTGATCATGCAGAAGGAGGAGATGAAAACCAACCTCATACCTCAGCTCACAACTCAACTTTTACCGCCAACCAAGACGTAGTTGCAGCTCAGCTTGCTGCCATGCAACAGCAGTTTGGTGTTTTTCAGCTAGTATTGGCTTAGCTCTTAGCTCGGAATAATCCTGGTGATCCCCTCATCCATTTACTCAACCCTGTCTCACAACCCCTAGCTCCACAACAGAATCCTGAATCGGTTTAGCATGCTCCTGCTCTTAGTGAATCTCAGGGCCAGTCTCACATAGCACCAGCTCAGCAACCTCTTCCTGATGATGTCACTTGACGTCTGGACAGTTTAGAAAAGTTGGTAGCTAAATAGCGAGGTGCCCCACCTCCACAACATGCTGTTGACTCCATACCTCATCCTCTAAACACCAACATCACACTGGAACCTTATCCCGCTGGCTTCAAAATTCCTCAGCTCGAGACATACGATGGGACAAAAGACCTCGATGATCACCTCCATGCTTTCTATTCTTGTATGCAAGCTCAAAATGCCTCTGATGCATTAATGTGTAAGATTTTTCCCTCCACTCTTCATGGCAATGCTCGAACTTGGTACTGTAGCTTGCCCACAAGATCTATTAGCTCCTATTCAGAAATGGCATCTACTTTTGCCACAAAGTTTTCCAACAGAAGGTTGATTAGGAAAACTACTTCTGAGCTGATGCGAGTCAAACAGAGGGACGGAGAATCTCTGAAGAATTACATGAGCAGGTTTAATGATGCAGTATTGGAGGTTAGTTCCTTCGACCAGGCTGTGGGAATTGCAGCTGTGATCTCAGGACTCAGCCATGAGAGATTCAGAGATAGTTTGATCAAAAACACTGCCACCACCTTTAGCGAGGTGAATGATAGGTCTCTCAAATTTATAACTGCTGAAGAATATGCCCTGTCGCAGAACCCAACTCCCTTTAAGAACCAAAACTCAGACTGGAAAGATGAAAATCTGAGCAGGAAACGGATAAGGATAGCACAGAACCGAGGTCCGATGTCGACCTTCACACCGAGATTCGAAAGGCCGAACTCTACACCCCCACAACTATCTGCAGGTAAACCTCCAGTTAATTGGACTCCTTTTAATTTGCCGAGGTCACAAATTTTCATGCAGATCAAGAATAAGATGGATTTAAGGCGTCTTGGCCCAATGAGAACTACTGCTGCTAGCTGAGAACATACCAGATATTGTGATTTTCATCAAGATCACGGTCATACAACAGAGCAGTGCAACAGCTTAAGGTCTAAATTGGAAAGTTTAGCTTAGAAGGGAATGTTGAATGAGTACATTTAGAGAGCTGAACAACCGAGGTTTGTCAGAGAATAGAGGCCACAGCCTCAAGGAGTCTGCAATCCACCAAACAGGCAAGGTGTGGGATATCAGCAAGCCCCACCTCCATTCCCACCACCAGCTAGAATCATACACATGATTACGGGAGCCTTAGAAGCAGGTGGACTGAGCTCTAAACAGCGAAAGTTGTATGTTAGAGAGGTTACACATCAAAACCGAGCTCAAAAATGAAAGTTTGACGACACTGACTAGAAGAATCAACCCATTACTTTCACATCTGCTGATTTTGACACAGTTGTTACACCCCACAATGATCCTTTGGTCACTTCTGTCATGATTAACAACTGTGAAGTACCACTATGAAGTACCACTATGAAGTACAACGTGTCCTTGTTGACACTGGGAGTGCACCAGATATCATGTACTTCCACTGTTTTGAGAGTCTTGGATTGGATCCAACATTGTTGTAGAGATATAATGGTCCCATTTATGGTGTCAACAACCAGCCTGTTTAGGTAGAAGGAGTTCTTACCCTCCATGTTGCTTTCGGGAGTGGCCGCACCTATGTGACTCCTTCAGTCTGGTTCCTAGTAGTCGAGATGGTGTCCTCTTTCAACGTTGTTATTGGCCGACCCACGTTGACTGAAATTCGAGCTGTGGTTTTCCAATCTCACCTCTGCATGAAATTCCCAACTTGTATGGGAATAGCAACACTGCGAGGCAACCAGGAGGTGGCTAGACATTGTTATATCACCTTGGTAACACAACCTAAGAAGGGCAAAGATTAGACACCCGAGGCTAATCCCCAACGGATTCCTGATAATCAACAAGTCATGGGTATTGAAATAGTAGATAACCGACCGGAAGATGAAACTAGAGCTGCTCCAGTCGAAGATGTCGAAGAAGTGCTCATTGATGATAAAGATCTGAGCCGAAAGACGCAAATTGGAACTAGATTCAACCCAGAAGAAAGAGATAAGCTAATAGCTTTCCTCCGAGCTAACAATGATGTCTTCATGTGGACTTCAGCAGACATGCTAGGAATTCCAAATTCAGTATCTCAACATAAGCTCAGCACTAATCCATTGAAGAAACTAGTGGCCCAGAAGTGACGTCTCTTCAGAGGGGAGAGGCTTCAGGCTATAAAAGAAGAGGTAGAGAAACTTCTACAAGCTGGTTTCGTCAGAAAAGTTGATTATTGCAAATGGGTGGCTAACCCAATCCTAGTGAAAAAGGCAAACGGTAAATGGCGAATGTGCATCGATTACACAAATCTTAACAAAGCCTGCCCCAAGGATTGCTATCCGATGCCGAGCATTGACAAATTGATTGAAGCAGCTTCAGGCAATGATAGATTAAGTCTCTTGGATTCATATTCTGGGTATCACCAAGTGCCGATGGCCCCAGAAGACGAAGAGAAAACCTCGTTCTATGCTGGCGATGAAATTTATTGCTATGTCATGATGCTGTTTGGCTTAAAGAATGCAGGTGCTACTTATCATAAAATGGTGACCATCATCTTTCGAGCTCAAATCGGCAGAAATCTGGAAGTTTATGTCAATGACATTGTGGTAAAGAGCCTGAAAGTAGAAGACCACCTAGCTGATCTCGACGAAACTTTCAACAAACTCAAAAAGAACAAAATGCGGTTAAACCCAGCCAAATGCATCTTCGGCGTGAAATCTGGAAAGTTTCTAGGTTTCATGGTGTCCCGAAGAGGGATTGAGGTCAATCCAAAGAAGATCAGAGCAATTGCCGAGATGGAACTGCCAAAATCAGTGAAAGATATACAGAGATTGACAGGAAGGGTGGCAGCTCTTCATCAGTTCATATCGAAGTCAGCAGATAAGTGCCTGCCATTTTTTAAGATTATGAGGTCAACCGCCCAGAAGGATGAATCAGGAAAACAAAAGAAATTTGAATGGAACCAAGAATGCCAAACCGCATTCGACGAGCTGAAGTCTTATCTTAGCTCACCACCTCTACTGACTAAGGCTGTAGATGGAAAGATTCTCTATTTGTATTTGGAAATTTCAGATGAAGCCATTAGTTCGATTCTGATGAGAGAAGAAGCCAAGCAGCAGAAACCAATCTATTATATCAGCAGTGTACTGCACGGACTAGAGCTGAGGTATCCTATAGCTGAGAAAGCAGCTTTAGTAGTCGTCACTTCGGCTTGGAAGTTAAGGCCATATTTCCAATCACACCCAATCATTGTCCTTACAGACCAACCTCTTCGACATATTCTACGAAAGCTAGAGTGCTCTGGGAGACTAATTAAGTGGGCAGTAGAACTAGGGGAGTTCGAAATAACATTTCAGCAGAGATCTATAATCCGAGCTCAAGCACTGGCAGATTTTATTGTAGAGTGCACTTCAGGTCATTCAACCCTTAATCCAGAACCTAACAATTGGACCTTATATGTTGATGGGGCATCTAGTAGCAAGGGTTCAAGAGTGAGTGCTCTCTTGATTGGCCCAGATGGATACCGAAGTGAACATGCCCTGAAATTTAACTTCGATGCAACAAACAACATGGCTGAGTATGAAGCTCTGCTGCTTGGTCTACAGCTAGCATTGGAGTTGAAAATCAGCACGATCCAAGTATACAGTGACTCCCAGCTGATGGTGAACCAAATCAACTCAATTTGCGAAGTCATTGATCCTGTGATGGTGAAATATGTAGCCCTGGTGGCTGAGTTGAAGTGCAAATTCTAAAAATTCTGTCTGAGCAAAATTCCCCGAACTGAGAATGAACAGGCAGATTCACTCTCTAAATTTGCCTCTGATAGCTCTTTAAGTTCTAGATCAATTTTTGTGGAGGTCTTAGATGAACCAAGCTTCATGAAGCCACGGATGATGGAGATCAGCATAGACCCTGACACGTCGAGTTGGACTGACTCAATTATCTCCTTTTTACGAGATGGGATAGTACCTGAGGACAGGCAGGAGGCAATGAAGTTGAGGAAGAAAGCATTTTGGTATACACTCATTGATGGAGTCCTCTATAAGAGATCATTCTCACTCCCTCTTCTACGGTGCTTACATCCCTATGAAGCTAAGTATGCACTTCGGGAGGTACATGAAGGTGTCTGCGAAAGTCACGTTGGTGCTAGAACTCTAGCCCACAAAGTCTTAAGACAGGGATACTATTGGCCAAACATGTATAAAGATGCCACTCACTTTGTTCAGAGATGTCTGAAGTGCCAATTCTTTGCACACTTGACTCACCAACCAGCAGAAGAGCTCACGAACTTGGGAGCACCATGGCCATTTGCTCAGTGGGGACTGGATCTTTTGGGCCCATTTGTGAAAGGGGTTGGTGGTGTAACCCATCTGATTGTTGGTGTAGATTATTTCACAAAATGGGTTAAAGCTCGGCCATTATCTAGTCTTACCTCCAAGAAGGTTGAAGACTTTGTTTTCAGCTCGATCATCTGCAAATATGGGATCCCGAATCAGATTGTGGCTGATAATGGAACTCAACTCAATTGCACCTCTTTTTGAGATTTTTGTTCCAACTACGGGATCAAATTATAGTTCACTTTGGTTTATCATTCGGAGTCCAACGATATGGTAGAATCTGTTAATAAATGCATTTTAAAAGGAATAAAGCCGAGGTTAGAACAGCACAAGGCCAAGTGGGCAAACGAGCTTAACAACGTCCTCTGGGCATACAAAACAACGGGCCGAATTACCACTCCCTCACCTGAAATTCTATCTCACTCCCTCACCTGAAATTCTACCCTAGATCAAATATGCATAATATGTAAAGCATATTCTAAAGCATATTCTAAAGCATATAATTTCATGAAATAGGTGAAACACCCTACCACTTGGCCTTTGGTACTTAAGCAGTCATTTCTATTGAAATAGGAGTCCCAAGCTTCTGGGTCACCCATTTCGATGAAGGACAAAATGGACAACTACTTCGGGAAAATCTTGATATGCTTGGGGAAAATCTTGATCTGCTTGCTGAAGTCAGAGAAGAAGCATGACTTCGAACTCTTGTATACAAGCAGAAACTAGCCAACTTCTACAATAAACGAGTCCGCCCTCGAACTTTCAAAGTAGGAGATCTTGTTCTTAGAAAAGCTGGCCTAACGGGGTTTGAAACTCGTTTTGGCAAACTGGCCCTAAATTGGGAATGCTCTTATACCATGGCCGAGGTGCCACATCCTGGTGCCTATGTCCTCCAAGACGCTGAAGGAAAGAGAGTTCCTAAAGTCTGGAATGTCAATAACTTGAAGAAATTTTACCCCTAATAAACTTCTTTCAAGTGATCTATGTCTTACTGCCTTTTACACTTCTTACTTCGTGATTGTTAAGATTCATTTTATCTCTTACTTTGTGTATCCAAGGTCGATTTGTTTAACACTTGTTCCTTGAACTTCACTCCTATTAATGGATGTCACTTCGCATATGAAGTGCTTTATTTCCATTTAACTTATTCGAAGTGATTTACTTTTTCTTACTTCGTCTGAAGTGGTTTACTTCTCTTTAATTCATTTCCGAAGTAATTAACTTCTTTTTATCTCTGAATGATTAACTATCCTTCAAAACATATCTCAAGTAATCTCAGTTCTTTTAAAATAACAAAATTGTAAAGCAAACACAACATGTAATGTCAAAACAAAATTTCAATTTAAAGCAATAAAAGTATTACAAACTGTTTTACTGTTATTACAATAGAATATCAACAAAAAATTAAAAAACAGAAATTATTTCTCTGTTGGAGGAGGTGGCTCAACTGGCTCCTGCTCAGTTGGAAGAGGTGGTTGTGTTGGCTGCTGCTCGTCTGGCAGAGGAGGCTACTCATCGTCAAAAGGAACTAGATGAATCTCCACTTCTAGAACTGGTTGACTCTCATCCACTTCAGTTCCTTCCACTCCTGCCTCCACTTCGTCTTGCTCTACCTCTGCCCCTTCTTCCTCCACTGCAACGAACTCGAAGTCGAACTTTGGAGGGAAAACAGCGCGTCCATCTACATCATGATCCAACCTCAGTTTGATCTGAGGACGGAAGTCTGCTAAAATGCTCTCACTGTTCTCCTCCACTCCTTCTTCTTGCTCACCGTAGGTGATCTTTGGAATATCCACTTCGTGATATTCAGCCTTCACCTTCTTTCTACAGTCCATGAAAGCAATGATGGCAGTTGGTAACCAGTATAAGTTGACGATGTTGTCAAACGAGCTAAAGCTAATGAAGTTGTTGATGTGCTCCTTCATCCCATTGTGCACCAACATCTGCACATTCTCCTTCAGCTCCATGAAAGCATCCTTCATCAACGTTATTTCCTTCGCCTGAGCCTCACGCTCGCTTTCAAAGATCCTCCATTTACTCTCCTCAAAGACGAGCTTGGTGCTCAGGGAAGCCCTCTCCTGCTCTAGCTGTTTCACAGTTGGAACCACCTCATTTAGCGCCTCTTGTAGTTCCTTATTCTTCTTCTCCAGCTCCTCCTTCTCTTTCTGCAGCTGGTCACACTGCCTTTGCAAGAGGGAGCACTCCTTCACACTATCCATGAACTCTTGGGCTAGACCATTCACCTAGCTCGCGCTCTACAATTCAAAGCAAAAGCTAAGAGAAAAAGAAGAGAAGAAGAAGGAGATTAAACAAACAAACAACACCAATAAATACAAATAACTTAACATACCTCTAAAACGTGCTTCACCACCGAAGCCCCACAGTACCTCAGAGCCTCGTCCCATGCGTGACGCTTGTCCACTTCAGGGAAGGTGGCGTTGATAAACCTCCTAGCCCCGTCCACTTCGGGGAAGGTGGCGTTGATAAATCTCCTAGCCCCCGTCATGTTCGTCACCTCGAACAGGTTGCTCTGAAAAGACAATGGGGGAACAAGGCCCTTTCCCTTGCCAAGAGCTTGTACCTCAGCCCCCTCCTCAAATTCCCTAAGCTCAGGGTCGAGCTCAACAGGAGGAGGCCTAGGTACCTCGCTCCCTTTCTCCTCCTCCTCCTCCTCCACCTCCACCACCTTCTTCTTCTTTTGAAGTGCCCCTCTTTCCTTCCTACTTTTCCTCTTCAACTCCAACTGTGGCTCCTCCTCCTCCTCCACCTCGGCTGAAATGCTAGGCACTACCTCCTTTCTAACTCCTCCCTCATCCACTTGTTTGGTTGAAGTCCTTGACTTCTTCCTTGGCTTCTTAAGGATGGCCGCTCCTCCTGCAGCGCCCAAAAATTTGTCCATTTCAGCTACAGAAGAACACACAATATCAATCACATAGTCCTATATTCTACATTCAATACTACAATGCAAATTAAACAAACCTTCACTTAAAGCGCTTGGCCCATAAAGCTCAGAAGCTTCTATGCATTCTGCGCTGGTGAGGTCCATGATGTTCAGTAAATCCCCCCCTTCCTCACCAACTTCCCCACCTCTTCTTCCTCATCCTCATTTAAACTAAATTTATTCTGGTTGGCTCTTTTAGCCTTCCAGGATGCTAACATCTCTACCTCGGCATCCTCCCTCTCCCATTCTGTATCATCTACAAAAAAGAATTTTTCCTTCCATCCTTTAATGGATGAAGGACTCGTAGTAAATAAAGCACTACTCTCCCTATTAGCTACCCTAGGGGTGAAATAATACCACCCCTTATCCTTCCTACTACCCCCCCTTAAAACAAAAAAGTACTTAAACATATTTATAGTTGGCACATTAATCCCCTGAGCCTGGCAATAAACTAAAAATCCTATTATTACCCTCATAGCGTTGGGGACTAACTATGTCAACCCTATGTTGTAATCTAAGAGAATACCCACTAGCAACTCAGGAATTGGAAACCTAAGCCCGGCTGCCAAGTAATGGGCATACACGGGCATCCAATGATCCCGAGGAGCAGAACATGCCCTCTCCTTTACCCCAGCTGGCCTAATTAACACTCGGGAGAAGATCTAATAACTCTCCACCAAATATCCCAAGCTATCCCTAGTCCCGAGTTCAGACTTATACTGCCTCACCTCTTCCACTATGTTTGCATCTATATCATAACCCCTCTCTCTCCTACCTTCTACTTTTACCACAGTGATGGGTACACTATCCCCTCCAACCCCAACCACCTCATCCCCCCCAACCCCC